CTAAGTTTTCTATTAGTTCTTTAATAAATATAATCTTTTGGCTTTAAAAATAAACTTCTCTAACAAACTGCTACAGTGAAGTAACATTCTGCTTTGACACCGTTGGGAGCCCCCCTTCCATATCTTATATTACTTGAGGTGTATTAAGAAGGCTACACTACTTGTAACATAATAAATAATTTAATTAATTTGAATAAAAAGAAATCCTACTTAGTGCCAGTTCGCTACTATAATTCATCAGTAGATTAACTGTCAACTAGCAGGTATTGAACCTACGACCACTAGCCTCATAGTCCCAAATTCATACTACTTTACTAAAGCAGGTATATAATAAAATTTTTATATGCACTCCTTAAGAATGTCCAAATTTGTTAACAAATAACCAATAAAATTAAAGATTTTCACATATTTAAAATTAAGGTTTGTTTAATTTAAGAGGGAAATTCAAAGTATGTTAACTTTGAATTAATTCAAAAATTAAATTTACTGACTAAAGAAAATAGGCAAGAGAAAGTATAGTTATCAGCATAGAAGGGAAAGGTCACTAAATAGAAGTATTAAAAGGTATTATAATAAAATAAAGAAAATAAAAATAAAAATAAAAATAGGAAATATTATTGTAGTGCTATAGTACCGTAGCACTACCCTTACGTAATCAGTTTATTAAATAAAAAATAGTCTTTATATTAATTAATAAAACATAGTGCCACAATGCTACTCTTATGTAATTTATTAAATAGACTTGATGCTAAATAATATATTTGTAATCGGCCCATATAAAAAAATTTTTTTTGCTTGCATTTGACCTTTTACTCGATTGTTTTATACTTGATTTTTTCTTGCTACATTGCTACACTTAATCATCACATTATTCATTCATACCTTGCGCTTGATTCTTTACTTAATCATTCAATACTTGATTTTTTTTCTTGCTACATTGCTTACACTTGATTGTCGTATTATTTAATTTACCTTATTCATACTTGACCTTTCCTTGTTAAATTACCTATACTTGATCTTTGCTCTACTTATATCTAAATTATGGAAATACTTGAAGAATTTGCCGTTAGTAATGATGCGCTATATGAACTTGCTGTAACTGATGATGCGTTATATGATAATTTTCAGAACAATTTTGCTGTTAATGATACCCTATATAGTGACCAAAGTGAATTTGATATTGTTAGAAGTTTTTTACATGATATTGATCAAGATAAATATAAAAACAGTAATATGATAAATCATGAAGATATTGAAAATAGCGATATGATGAATCGTGAAGATGTTGAAAACAGAAATATGATAAATTGTGAAGATGTTGAAAATAGCGATATGATTAATTGTGAAGGTGCTAAATACGAAAATATGATGATATATGACTGGTATCAATTGATAAATGAAGGTGCTCAAGGTGAAGAATTGCAAGAGAATATAATATTCCGTAACTAGGATATACAATGAAGGAAGTCAAAAAGTATAGAGGCAAACAAGAATTTAGGATTTGTTGTTATCGTGTTGAAAGGTCTAATGGTACAATCTGGAGACGCATATTAGTATGTGAACATTTTGGATACCCGAAACAACAAAAAGTAAGAATATGAAGAAAGAAACAACTTCTAAACATATTAGGTGTATATGGCAGATAAACCTTTCATGTCTAGAAAAAACAATTCTCATAAGGTCATCTATGTTACAAAGTTAATTAATAAGCATAAGAATCATAGTCTTAATCGAGCACATTATGATTTTCGGGAAAGTTTAGAGTTTACAGTGGATATGATTAAGGAGGTTGAATTTTTTGTAACCAAAATGAAGTATAGTTCTCAACAAATTTACAAAGCTCTTGAGGAAAATTATTCCGTTAAGATTTACATACCTGTGTTATATTGGGTAATTCAGCAGTTTCGTTCAAAATCCTATGACCAGACAAATGATGCTAGTCATTTGTATGAAGAATTGTTAAAGAAGAAAGAAATTGACTCCCGATGGTATGTTGAAGTAGATTAGGACCATAATAGCAAATGTCTTCATCGATTATTCTATATATCCTCTGATCAAATTGAACGATAGTTAAAATTCGGTGATATAGTTTTAAATGATAATACTGCAGCTACTAACCGTTACGAAATGACACTGTTACTTTTTTTAGTAGTTGACAACTATTTATCTTTCTGATTAGTGGCTCAGGAATTAACAGATGACGAAACAAAGGAAGCGTATAGTTGGATATTGTAGCAAATTAAGAAAGTGACATCTGAAGCTATTCCACATATTATTTTTACTGATGCTAACCCTGCTTTGATTGCTGCAATACAGGAAGAATTTCCATTGACAAATACTCTGCATTGCATGTTTCATATTGCATATAATATTCCTCAAAATTTGAAAAGTAGTCTCAGAGATTGTTATGATGAATTTATTAAGGACTTCTTTGATATATAGCAAAGCAGCTTCATAAAAATCTTTGAATACAAATGGAAATGTCTAATTGAAAAATACAACGATGAAAATGTAGTTAATTATTTACAGCGAATGCTTTATGCTAACAAAGAAATCTGGGCAAAAGCATTTGTACTTAAATTATTTACAGCGGGGATGTCGTCAACTTCTCGAGTTGAAAGTTATAACTCTAAAATCAAGAGATTGATATTTAATTCGAATACTACACTATTAGAACTTGCAGAAAAACTGTCAGTATGTATTCTTGAAGAGGATAAAAAGACAGAATATGCCTTATTTCGTGCCTCGATTCCTAAAGCTGTTCTAGTTGCGACAGCTAATACTATTCTTCCAAATGTCTATAATATGCTACGAAAATATCTTACAGTAGAAATGTTAAAGATTCAGGAGGATTAGATTAAACAAGCACTTCAGTATCATGCCATGATAATATCAAAAAATGAACTACGAAGATACCTTAAGGTAATTAAAGATATCATTATGCAAGATGAATCTTGTGTTACTTTTTGATATTAATGTTAAAAGTGTAAATTTTAGATTAATCTTGAAGATCCTACCTTGTTTGGAGAAAATCCAAATTTTACTAATATTATAGCCAAATCAATGCTTAGTCTTGTTGATAATAATAAGATTAAAGAAATGTGGGGGGTTCAACAAGTAATATCTAATAATATATAACATTTTGTAGTACTTTTAGATGATGGATCTTATATATGTTCGTGTTTTGATCATTGTAATCGTAGAATCATTTGCTGGCATTTTTTTCAAGTAATGCTATGTTCACAGGCCGCAACGTTCCATATTCAGCTAATAAGATTACGATGGTATAATGACAATGAAGTCAGTTGCAATTCAGCTCAAGAATCATTTTTGGTTATACCAAAATTTGAAATAGAACAACCAGTGATGATAGATTGGAGTAGTTCAGTTCCTTATCTTAACATATTTGTTCAAGCTCAAGATGTGCAAAATATAAATCGTAAAACAATAGATGAGCGTAAACTATATAGAGAAGTATGGGGCAAAGCAAGAATGGCTTTGATGTTAGCTGTTCAATGACATGATCACAATTTTATTACTATCCTTGATAAATATATAGAAAATTGTCAAGAAGTATCATCTGATAGTGATGTAACTTCAGATAATGAGGTTGAAACTGATAGTAAAACTAAAAAAGGAAACTTGAATCCATGCGAGTTGATGAATCCTCGAAAATATAAGGCAAAGGGTCGACCAAAAGGAATAGACAGAATAAGACGTGTAGACGAACCATCAAAAAAGACAAAACAACAATTATATTATAAGAATTGTGGAGGTGCTAGCCATAATCGAATAACTTGTTCTCAAAGAAAGAATAGTCATATTAGTCATATTTGTTGTAAGTTTTATGTATCTAAAAGCAGATCCTTATATTGAAGTAAAGTAAGAATACCAGAGAAAAATAAGATCTATGAAATTATGCATTCACATATAGTACGTATGAAACTTGCATATGAATATTTTAGAATATCGATATAAACTATTGCATAATTTCTTAATACGTAATCATTTCCCTGACAAGGGTAGAATTAGCATTTTTATTAGTTGTAAAGTAATATCAGGTAAAAGGCTTGTCAAGAAAAAATTACCATCAGAAAAATTATATGTAACTATATAAGCAGACTAACTTTATTGACATTGCATGACCAGTAGCTAGAATTAAAGTTATTAGATTTCATGCGATATGTTTGTATAATTTTTAGGGCTCTAATATTAAAGTACAAACCTCGCTAAAAAAATTTTGCTATTGATTAGAATTGGAATTAGTCACATTACACCAATCTAGCAAAAATTTTTAGATACATATAGTATGTAAAATTTAGTATTCCGTGAAAATTCAGTTTGTGTCGTAATTTTAGAGAGCTGCCACAGGCAACTGGCATTTGCGAGGTACAAGTGGAGCCTGTTTTCAGATAGTGGGTTTATAATACTATAACCATATACTGATTTCAGTTCAAGAACATATCATGTGTAATACTGTTTTTATAGCTATCAAAAATACTAGTTCCGACTAGGTAATTTTTACAGAACACTAGTAAAATTTAATAGCCAATAAGAAATTCTACTTGAAACTATAGTGAATCTCAAAATTAGTTTAGTAAGATTAACTCAAAGTTTTTGATCAAAATTGGTAGTTAGGCCCGAAATTGTATAAATGCATATTTAGACAATTTTTTTTAACAGTAGCGATAAAGTTTTGAAATCAAAAATTGAAAATCTTAGGTAGCTCACGCATTTTTGCTAAGTTTCTTAATTAAAATTATGTTATTTCTGTTTTTTCTGTAGTTTCATTTTGATTATTTACATTTTATCTTATTAGAGATGATAATTTTCTGTGATGACAAAATACTAATTCTATCTGTGCAAAAAAGTAATTCTACAAAAATTCTGCGATTTAACTAGAATTATATAAATCAGCTAGTATTATGAGTTGTAAATTCTGGCCAAAATTAATGTCAGCTGACATTATGATCATAAATCTTAGCCAAAAATCACAATTTTTGTGAGTATGCTATTAGTTAAAAAATCTTTATTAATAATATATTAAATTCAGATCTGTTTTAAATAGAAAGTTATATAAACAATAATATATAAAAATATAGTATTATAGTATCATAGCACTATGATGCTATAGCACTATAAAATAAAACCTATAAAAATATATTTAAAAATAAAATTTTAACCTTAGAATTGAAAAAGAAAGAAAAGAAAAAGAAGATGAAGATGAAGTAAGAAGGAAAGATATGGAGATTAGATTTTTGAAACAAGAGTTAGATAAATTAAAAGAGAGAGAAAAGTGGAGATATGAAGAGGAGATGTTTAGAAAAAGAAAAGAAAAAGAGAAAGAAAAAGAAAAAGATAAAGATATGTCATTTATTTTAACAGAGAGGTATAAAGAAGCGGTGTGGTAGTGTCAGTTTCTAATTTAGTTATGTGGTCTGCACCTCCATATTTTATTAATCGAATTAGTCGAAATGATAGCTTTTGATTAGTTTATTCGAATTTCGAATTAATTCGATTAATTAAAATTTTACATCAGATCTATCGAGTGACGACCGGTACAGTATGGCTGAAATGATTTGTATTATTAAAATGCATACTAAAATAAAGTCCGTGTGATTTGATTCATAATCGATCCAAAGTATAATTTATTCAAGCCTTCGCTCGCCTTACTACTATTTGTAAGCGACTTTCACTAAGTTTTGATAAAATCGCAAGATAAATCGTTTCTTTTATTCTGAGCCGTAGTAATTACCTATTTTTTTTAACCTTTAAACATTAAAATATCGAAGTTTTAATAACCAAACCATTTGCAATTGTATAAATTATAAGGATAAACTTGTCACTATTTATTATGCCATTGTTACCCTATGTTGACGATCTTTTTGATATTGAGGAATCGGGCATGGATATTAGCGATAATGAGCTTGATGTTGCTCTTGATCATATTTTGATGCAACTGACAAGAGTAGGAGACAATAAACGATGATAATTTGCAACAGGAAGGATCATTAAATACAGATCGAGTTAAAACGTAGATTGGATTAAGAATCTCGAAAAAGCAGTCCTTGTTTATAATAAACATGATCGCCAGAGAAAATGAGGTGGTGGAAAAAAGAATTAGTGGACAGAACGATGGCATTGCTGAAAAAATGCACTAAAAAACCAAAATGTGGTTGTAAGAATCACATATATATTACACTTCCTACAAACTCATCAACAGTGACTGTTAGACATTATTACAAGCATCTCAATCATTATTCTAGTCGATATCAGACCAGACCTGCATACACTCCTACTCTCTGAGAATATCCGTCAATTTATTAAACAGTGTGCACTTGAGGGGCTCGACACCTTCAGCATACATCGGCTTTCACGTTTTAGATCTGTTGAGCTTCAAGATCACTTATCAAGTATGTGCATTAGAAGAAATCCACGACAATAATCAAAATATTCAGTCATTACGAGACGGCCTTGTAACACGAGATGATATCTACACAATTGTGTATAAGGCAGAGATAGTAAAATTAGAGGTCATTTGCCTTTTTGACCTAGGTCATTTCAAACTAAAATTCATAATAAAATTGAGGTCATTTGAAGGTCATTTGAAGGTCATTTACCATCACTGGTAATAAGGCATCTATATATCATGATAAAAGTGAGCTTCAATCTTTGAGAAATGGAAAGATAAATTAATTAGTATGAGCGGAAGTTGTTTGTTTGAAGATATATGTGATATTTATTTTAGTAATTTTTTTTTTATCTTTATTTTAGGTAATATCGATGAGGAGTTTTTGTTTGCCTTTCAGATGAAAAATCAATGCAATTCTCACTAGTATTTCTTGATGGTACGCACAGATCAAATCAGCATGGATTCTACCAGTTGAGGAATGTTTTCCCGATAGTACTGTATTTCTTTGTCATTTTCATGTACTACGAACGTTAAAAACTAAACTATAACAATAGCATAAATAATCTATATATGCCTATCTCAATCACTTCTGATACATTAAAACTAAAAAATAAATTTCTTTATATAAAATTTTTTAAATTTCATTAATTTATTTATAATTTTTTTATTTTAAGCTATCTTTTAATATATATTTTATTTAATTTTATAAATATTTTATTAAAAAATAAATTTTTTAATAAATTGAATTTTTGAGGTCTGGCGATCTTAGTGTAGTAGTTAGGTTGTCAGACTGCCATGCAAGAGGTCTGGGGTTCAAATTCTACTGTTGATGAATTTGAATAATTACCTGGACCTTTGTACCCAACTTATAGTAAACCCTGTCTGTTTCTGGAGTTGTAACTCTGTAAATCACGTTGCATCAATATCATCTGGATATTAGAAGTGTGATGAGGCGTTTGGTGAGATGTAATATTATACAAATAAATCTTGATAGGATCTACAGGCAGGGGACTTGCATGGTAAAAATCCCAAGTTGGTGAAGTAGTACAGCCTTCGACAGTCACACTGGCTAATGCTTGATCCAGAAAGGAAACTATTGACAAAAGATGCAGATCGAGTCAGATACGCATAAATCTGTTCCACAAAGAGCATCAGTAACACCAACCTGGCTTGGTGGCTAACTAGATTAGGAGGATTTGCCTTATGAAATATCTAAGAAGATAGATACAGAAAACTGGTGGAGAGTCACAGTAGAAACTAGGGTTGTATGAACATCTACAAGGGTTTAAGCTAGATGAATCCATAAAATGAGTACGAACCACTTTAGTAGATATGCTTTGAGATTAACTGGCTCTGCAGTATCTACAATGCATTAGGTACAATGTATTCTGAGAAGACCTAAGCCATTCTGAATAAATAGATCTGTAACGAGCTAGCTGGCTTAAGCAGTTAGGTGTTGCAGTGATGTTAGGTTAGATCTGTATAGATTAATGAATAGAGTGTTTAAATAGGTAACTCACAGGCAGGTTACAGGTATAACAGCATAGTGTAGAACCAATTAGGTGATCTAATCGCCTATACAGTGGACTACTTAAATTAGACAATGACTAAAGTTGTATGTGTAGCTTGTTGTACACTCTTCATGTAATTACAAACAGTAGGGACTATTAATATATATCCTGTATGCAATTCTAATAAAATTCCTTCAGCAATATAAGCTACCTTAATAACAAAAAAAAAATAAAATAAATTAAATTTTTAAAAAAAAATTTCAAAAGATTTGATAAATTTTAAATTTTAAGTATTTTTGCAATCAATATATAATTTTTAAGTTTCTATTAATTTTAACATATTACTGTACTTATAATTAATATATAGTAAGATCTGGTGATCTAGTATAGTGTTTAGATTGTCAAACTATCATGCAATAGGTTTGAGGTAATGCTTAGCAAAATCAAACAAAAGATTTGATTGTCAAATATTTGATCAATCAAATATTAGTATAATTAGATTTAAAGTCAGCTATTTGATATTTAATTAATTAAGTATTTGATAATTAAATTTTTGCTGAGTACTAGTCTAGAGTTCAAATCTTACTATCAATAAATTTGAATAATTTCTTAGACCTTGTAATATATAACAGTAAATTCTGTTGGTTTCTGGAAGCATATCTCTGTAAATTGAGTTGTACTAAATTGATTAGAACTTGGAAGTGTGATATAATATTACATGAATAAATCTTGGTAGAATATACAAGCAAAGGACTTGCATAGTAAAAATCTTAAGTTGGTAAAGTAATATGGTCTTCTAATAAAACTACATTAGTTAAAGTTTGATCTAAAAAGAAAACTCAGTCTAATAAAAATAAAAAGTTTGAAGTTTTTGAGCAAAGAGTAATTAGGACTAGTTAGATATTAGAAAAGAACTAAATTAACTGACTAGTTAAGAACTATAGTAGAACCTGAAATTTTTTT